ACTCTCTCTACAACAAAATTAGAAATAAGGGCAAAATAGTTTCTGCTGGGTATTGGGGGGGGGGAGAGGGAGGGGGCGGACTGGGTGGTAAGGGACGGGGTGGGGGCAGGGGGGGAGAAATGAACCAAGCCTTGTATGCACATATGAATAATAAAAGAAAAATGAAGGAAAAAAAAAAAAAAAAGATGAACCTTATCGGGGCTGGGGGTATGGCCCAAGTGGTAAAGTGCTTGCCTAGCAAGTGTGAGGCCCTGAGTTCAAAAACCTAGTACTATATATATATATGGAGAGAGAGAGAGAGAAAGAAAGAAAGAGAGCGAGAGAGAGAGAGAAAGATGACTCTTATCATGAAAGAACATACATGGAAGAGGAAAGTGCAGTTCAAGAGAGTGGACTGGTTATTTTAAATAAGTGTATTGCCATGTTTAGGCAGATGATATGCTGGATTATTGTATTGAAAGAATTTGTGTCTGTGATCATGGAGTCAGAGTTTGTATATTTCTTTTTTACTAACAGATTTTTTTTTTAGACTTTTTTTTATTTTGCTGTATCTTTTAAGAATCATGTAAAGTAGGAGTGCATAGATGACTCTAGTGATAGATGAGTTAAAACTTGAAAAGGTGGCTTCTTGATGTGGCATTGGAAGGTGGCAAAATTGTAGAAAAGTTCAGCGAACAGAGCATATGGTGATATTTAGAAAAGGATTGATAGTAACTGGGCACCTGCATTTGTCAACTAAAATAAGTCATTTTGGGTGTGTGTGGCAGTACTGGGTTTGAACGTGGGGCTTTGTATTTGCTAGGCACATGTTCTACTGCTTGACCTGTGTACTTAGTCCTTTTTGCTTTGGCTGTATTTGAGATAGGGTCTTGTTTTTTGCCTGGCTGGCCTGGACCATGATTCTTCTATTTACACTTCTTGCGTGCCAACACACCCACCTTTTGCTTTTGAGATGGGATCTGGTGAACTTTTTGTTCCTGCTGGCCTGGAACCGTAATCATCCTGATCTCAGCCTCCTGAGTAGCTAGGATTATAGGTGTGAGCCACTGTGCCCAGCTAAAATAAGTCATTTTGAAACAAGCCCATTTCTTTCCTAGGTGATATGAGGCTGGTATACAAGGATAATATAGTAAAGATAACCTAATAAGGCATTTCATGGTTCTCAGTAGCTTTATAGACAAAGGTGACAGTTTTACACTTGAAATGTGTTAAAGCAGTGGTGATACTTATTTGTTAAAAGTACAGGCTCTGTACTTTTATGAGCTTTTTAAAAATTTCAAATTGATAATATATGTATTTATGGAGTACAAGTGGTATTATGACACGTGTACAGTGGAATGATTCAGTCAAGCTAGTTCACATATCCATCACCTCATGTATTTACCATTTTTTATGTTGAGGACCTTTGAATTTACTTTCTTAGCATTTTTGAAATATACAGTACACTATGATTAACTATAGTCAGTCATCATACATTACAGTGGATTTCAAAAGCTCATTTCGCCTATCTAACTTCAACTTCCTATTTTGACCAACATCTCCCCATTCTCTCCACTCCCTTGCCTCTGGTAACCACAGTTCTCTGTGAGCTTTTTGTATAAAAAAACACACAAAGAACATAGTGTGTTTGGTCAGCGTAAGATTTTAGCAATGCTATTTTTAATACTAACACATAGATTTATAACTTTTCTTAATGGTTGGGCAAAATATTGAAAGAATCAGTAGTAATTTGATGTCAGAAGGAAGGGGATGATCCTAAGTTACACCATAGGGTTTTTTGTCTGTGTGTCGTCAATACCATTCCACACTTTTTTTTTTTCTATGTCTGTACTTTTCGTGTTTTTCACATCTGTAAATCATTAAAATCTAGAAGGAATGTCTAGCATATTGGATAGCAGAATTGGAATTTAAACATCTTTTTTTTGCCTTAGGTAGTAGACTGAGAATAATAAAACAAAATTTAACACAAATATTAAATTTTTACTATCAGTAATGTTAAAATTGATAAATAAATGTTAAAATAAAATAATAATTATGTTAAAATGTTTACTATCAATATTCTGGAGAAAGCCAAGTTTTAGTTATCTGAAAATTTGTTAGTGTTATATGGCAAAACCTCCTCTTCCCCCTACTGTAATGCAATTATTAGTCTCATTGGAAGCAATATGATGTCCAGAATGAGGGTCCTTTTAAACTTTTTGTTCAGTTCTGATTCCCAGGATCCCACGACAGTTGAAAACCTGGCTGTATGAAGACTGACTAAGGGGGCTTGGACTATTTAAAATGGAAAAATGAAGACTTAGTGTTTGTTGCTTTTGGGTATCTGAAGAGTACCTGGAAGAAGATATATTTATTTTGTATATGGCTGAAGGAAGTTTCAGTAGTTAGGAGTAATGAGTTTTTCCCAGGATTCGTTGGAAGTGTCCAGGTTGTGTTTGAATGTCCACATGTCAGGGTTATTGAGGACAGATGCCTAAATTGGGTGATAGGTTAAGAAGATGTAATATCTTCTAAATTTCCTTTTGATTCCAAATCTGTGAAATGAAAAAACTAGATTTAGAATATAAAATTCTAACAAGTGCGAGGTATCTGAATTCCTACATAGTGACAGTATTATAGAGGAGGTTCTAGCGTCAGACAGAAGGTAATTATTAGAAGGACCAGTTAGGTCATTTGCAAGCTCTATAGTCTATAATTTGAGGACTTTAAGGATCCTTAATACATGTATTTGGCTTTCACAGTTCTTTCTTACTAGTTTTCCATGTACTAACAAAATTATTCTTTTTCCATTTATCTTTTGTCTTACCAAGTTCAAATACAGTAAAATATTTTGCTCTGTGTTGTAGTTAAGATGAGCACTGACTAAGCATTTAAGTGTTCTGGTTTTCATTCCTTTTAAATAAATTCAAATGGGAATGGCTGGCTTTCATCTTTCTATTGAAATTCAAAGTAATGCTTACTTAATCCCTTCTTACGGATTTATCCTCTTTTTACAATTGAGAAAATTTGAATTTATAAAATTGTTTAAAATATCTGTGCTTTAAAAACTGCTTACACCTTTTCTCTTATGTAAGGAAAGTCTTTTAGAAGCTTATAAAATTGTGATCATTGATTAATTTTTCACTGATAGCCTTGGAGAGTTATAGAATTAAAATGTATTTTATTGTGTGTTATAAACATAGGATTCTGAACTATTCTTGGGAAGTTAGCAACTAGAACCTAGAGAGGAAAGTGAAAGTCATGACTTCTGTAAGCCTCTAGGTGAAATTTCCCATGTATAGGGAAGATGGGAGCAAGTTCCATACACGATGAAGAAGTAATTATTCAGATCCAGAATGTGGGTTGTTACACAGGATGTTGGACCTGGGTCCTTTCAAATTCATCATTGTGAACAAAAAGGTAGAAGGTCTGTTGTAGATTAAAGCGAATGAAGAGATGCAGCAACCAAATGCCACGTATGAGCTTTGTTGGATTCAAGTTTGAGGAAAAAGCCATTAAAGACATTTTACAGGCATTTGGATATAGACCAATTCTGTGATATTCAGATGTCAGTTTTCTTAAGTATATAAATAGCATTGTAGCTATAGAGAAGAATGTCCTCATTTTCAAAAAATGCAGGCTGAAATACTAGTGGTAAAATGTGATGCATGTAACTTTAAATGGAGGGGACAGAAGCATATGTATATGGAGAGAGAAAGGAGACAGGGCAAATCCTTAACAATTGTTGAATGTAGCTGGGCAATATCCATCACTTTCTGTATATTTGAAAGTTTTTATAATAAAATGTTGGGGAAAAATTCATTTCTGGAATCCCATAGTTAAGCTTTAGTGAAGAAGTAAGGCTTATAAAGAATAGTACATTAGTTGAACTAACAGGACTTAGAATTACTCGTTTCTTTCAGGGAAGTGTTGAAATAAAGTATAGCATCTATCTTGATTTTATTGTACTGGCATGGTGCACTTGAATTTTCTTCTGTCTTTTTTTGCACTTGAATTTTCTAAGTAGATATTTTCTCTGTTTCCTCATTGAAAGAATGAGCATTTTGGCTTATAAACTTATTTGCTGTTAAAGCCCATTTGTTATAAATGAACTTGGAAAAAATTTTGTGGAGAACTTCATCTTAAAGGAATTGTATTGCTTTGTGGTCACCTGTAATCCCAGACTTGGGAGACTAAGGCAGGAAGATTGAGAGTTAGAAGCCTCCCATGTCGACCAAATGAGACCCTGTCTCAAAAAAGAAAAAAATGCATTGTGGTTTAATTTGTGTAGGTAGAAAGAACCCTATTTCAGCTATGTTTGGTTACCTACTTAGAGGAATATTCAAGAGGAAGTAAAGCAGAAGTTTCACTTGTGAGAAAACATTTATTTTAAAAGCCTTCAGTGTGTTCAGCAGTTATTTTCTGGTAAAATTTGACATTGTTTGGTTAGAATTTTTGCAAAACACCCCATATACCTCTTTAATTCAAAATTTATATAAAAAATTAACCTGATGAATTTTTTCTGGCAATGTCACTTTCATGAATTTGTTTTATCACTTCTGCTCTGAAATTAAAAAAAAAATCTTACATTGTTTTTTTCAGGTGGCTTCTCTAAGTTGTATATAGACAAAGTTACTTGTTAAATAATACAGCTATACATGAGAAAAGCAGCATAACATCTTAGGCCCATCATTATTAAACATCTGAGTTTTCATAAACTGGTTCAGTTTTGGTAATAAACAGTTACTATTTGGAAAAATGATCTGTTAAAGATTATATGACAGTTGAATTAAGATGAACTGTTTAATTGTTCTTACAGAGTTAAATTCAAGTCTGTTAAGGCTCATATGAAGTGTGTAGAACAAATACAAAAAGACATTTTATTTAGCTCAAGGTTTTCTTGAGTTTGTCGGGCAGTGAAGGTTTTAGTATGAGTAATAACAACTTTTGTGTGTGGGTGTGTTCTCCATATAATTATGCTGGCGTATTGGAGTCATGTGTCTTTTCTTCTTCCTCTCTGCTCTCTCCCTGCTATGCAGAGTATTTGATTTCTGACACTGGAGGACAACAGCTCTCAATAAGTGATGCCTTCATCAAAGGTAATTTTATCAACAGCTGTACATGGGAATATGTCTGTTTGCTCATGAGGGTATACTTAGGGCCTAGCACATTGATTGACACAGAGAAGGTGCTGGAAGTATATTTGATTTTTTTGGTATCTTAGGAACACAGTTTTAAACATGCATAATTATTTTTGAGAGTGTCAAAACACAAGATTATAAACTTGGACTTAGTTTGAGAGAAGGATGTCTCTGATCTGAAAAATAATTGTTTAAAAGTTTTTAAATAGGATTTTAGTCTTTTAAAGACATTAATATTGTATACTTTCCTACATCATGAATATAATAGTAAGTATTGATATACATATCATCAAGGATTGTCAGCTTTTGTCAGAAAGCCAACACAGGCAGATCTCATCCAATTGAGGATCCTGCTTGTCCTGGTAGATGTGGGAGTAATAGGCAGAGGGGACAAAGAATTAACTGTTAATTTCTTTGGAGCAAAAGGCATATATAAGAATAAAGCCTTTTTCTTTTTAAAACCTTTTCCTCATTTAACTTAGTGTGGAGTAAAGAAAAAACTAGCTAGTCCATAGCCTGCACAGTTTAGGCCTAATGTAAAGAAAGAAAAGTTCCCTTCCTAGGGTCTTTTGGCTCCCAGGCTTTCAGGTAAAAGAGCAAGTTAGAGCAAAGGATGCCACTTGCTGCTGACCTCATAACTTTAGTAGTCTTTCTAAATTTACTTATAAACATCTGGTTCAAATAGAAGTTTATAGACTGGCCATTTACAAAATTAGAATGTGTAGATCTTGTGCCTCATCATGGACACATGCTTTAGTGTGTGGAAGTTGTTTTTTTTTTCTTTTTTCATTGGTTTACTTTAAAAGGAGAAGGATTTGAGATTTTTTGGATAAACATTTCCCACATTTCATTTACTTAGTTATATTATTCAATAATTGTTTAGTGAGTACCTTTATTGTGTATTAAATTTTGTCTTAATTCACTTTTATTGGTTTCAAAAATTTAAAGATTTTATGTAAATTGCTTTTTATCATGTTTTAATATTTCTTTATAGCTTATTTTTGGATCTAGTTAAAGTTTTGTTAAAAAGTCTGTGCCAACATTGAAGAAGAAGCACTGTGAAGGACTGTCCGAATAGACTTTCTACCTTGTAACCTGCCATTTTGAGATATCTGAGCAGAGCTTCTTTTGAAAGTTCAGCACCCACATTATCATTTATTGTTCTGCCAGCATTCAGATTTCAGTTGAATGCAGTTTTTAGATTTTGATTTTGTAGGGAAAATTAACACTCTCCTTCTTTAATGTTTCAAAATCAATACAAAAGACAAGTGCAAAAATCTCATTTTATTTGTCTTTCAGAAGATGTGTTTATTTTATTGGCTCGAGAGTCCTAATTACTTATGTAAAGTTGCTTTTCTTAGTTCTTATTTATTTATTTGTGGTGTGGGTATCAAGCCCAGGGCTTTGCATATGCTAGGCAAGTGCTCTCTACCACTGGGCTATGCTCCAAACCCCTGTTTCTGTGTTTCTAATGTATTTATGTATTATTGTATATTGTGTATTTTATTTAGGTACTATGTGTTTGCCATTTTAAAGCAATAATTTTTATTGGCCAACTTGAGAAATTTAAAATTTCTAAGTATATGAGAAAATGGCATAAAACATAATGAAGTAATAACTTCTTACCTTATATTTAGAATCCTTATTTAATCGCCGGGTAGAGGAGAAAGCTAAAGAGCTGCCTTTCACACCTTTGGGCTGGCATCATAACAACCTGGAGCTCCTGAGGGAGGAGAATGGGGAGAAGCAAGCCATGGAGAGGTTGCTGTAAGGCAGTGCGCTTTTTAATTTTCGTTTCATTTCTAAAATTTTCAATGACTTAGGCATGTGCAATAGTTCCTCTTCTTTAAAGAGTAAAAAGTACTAAACACATTATTCTTATTTCCAATGAAATTTTGCTATAAACCAATCCCTAACTACTTGTCTTCATTTAAATTTATGTGTTAAAATTTCATTTTAACAGATTAAAGGGAATATGTTACTTGAAGATAGTCACAGATTTCATTTATGTGGAAAACCATTGAGCTGAAGATAAACCAAAATAATAAAATTAATCTAGAAGATCTTATTGGTGAACCATAATTGAAATGCTTATTTCCTTGTAGACTGCCTATTGTGTTTTTAGAATTATTATATTAACTATGTAAACTTCTTTCTTACAACATTTTTGTAGTTCAGCTAATCATAACCACATGATGGCACTACTCCAGCAGTTGCTCCATAATGACTCATTGTCACCATCTTGGAGGGACATCATTGTGTCACTGGTCTGCCAGGTTGTTCAGACAGTCCGACCTGATGTCAAGACCCAGGATGATGACATGGATATCCGTCAGTTTGTTCACATCAAAAAGGTGACCTCTGCTACTGCTTTTCTACTGCTTGCGGGGGTGGAAGGTGGGGATAATTTGTCTCTTAATGGTAATCCAAAAAGAGTCATTATCTTTAGGGTTGCTAGGGGATTAGTGGGAGGTTTTGATCTCTGCTCTGTTAGCAGTGCATTTAGAGGTCATGGGAGCTACTCATAGGAAGTAAGAGGTGGAGTGAAGGGGTGGGTTGGGTGGGGAATGAGTTGAGAACCCAAATAAATATAGTTTCTTCCTTTCTTGCTTCCTCTTTTGACACATCAATTATGAGAAAGCCTGTTCTCACAGTTTACTGTCACTATTCTGTGGAAAAGCTGTAGATAATTGCTTTAATTAAATAGTAATAGAGTCATGTATATACTTTTCACCTACGATATTTAACTTAAATAGTAGTGGTTTTAATTGCCATAGGCATCAATTTTGTAAACTACAGGTTACATTAGAGAGTAGGGGTAGGAAAATAGTCAATCAGGCTGAGATACCATTAATCATTGGTTGAAAGGAAGTATTCTGAACCTTTTGTCCTTATTTGATTATATTATAGTGAAAAAATATGTAAAGATATAATAGTATGCATCTGACTGGAATCTAAGGACTTACACTAAAATTTATGAAAAAATTTTTCCATTAGATCCCAGGTGGAAAGAAATTTGATTCTGTGGTTGTCAATGGCTTTGTTTGTACCAAGAACATTGCACATAAAAAGGTAATGTGATTCAGTTCAACTGTGAAATCCAGCAAACTGCAGCTGTGTGCTCATCTAACAAGTTGGGATATCGTAACGATGAAGAAAAGGAGAATGGACATTGAGGAGCAACTAGCAGTGTCTGCAATAGGGGCAGAAGTTTGGAGGTTTAGGCAGGGTCTCCTAGAGCTGATGATGAATTAATTGGAATTTAGATAATGGGAATTTACCAGCCAGAAGAAGAAAGGGGGTGGTCAGGTTCTAGACTAATAGAGGATGGCTGGTATCATTTTTTCCCCTGAACCGTGCCAGAGAGATAGGGGTTCTCTAATAGACTGGAGTCTTTCAGAAGGTTTAACATCCTAAAAACTGACCTCTCTTTTGGGATGATCTACGGAACTGTTACTGTTATTCTTTTCACTAATTATACCTCTACCCTCAGTCCTGAGACCTCTTTTTAGGACTAGAACGAAAGAGTGGGGTGAGATAACCTTGGATACTAAGGAATCTTTGAGCTTCTTAGGTGCCAAACAGGGAATGCCAATGAAGCTGGGGGAAGCAGGCAAGGGCTTTGTATCCCACTAAAGGTCTTCGCCCTATGTCCCACCCCGCCCTCGCCCCCTTTTATTGGGTGGTACTTGAGTTCAAGGCCTTGTGTGTGCTTGGCAAATGCTCTATCACTTGAGTCACAAATTCAGCCCTTTTGTTTTTGAGATAGGGTCTTGTTAACTTTGCTTAGGCTGGTTTTGAACTTAAGATCTTCCTGCCTCTGCCTCTGCCTCCTAGTATTTGGGATTACAGGTGTGTGCCACCACATCTGGCTCTACTAATGATCTTGACCTTTATTCTGAAGGTTTCTGTTTCTCAAAGTGTACCTGTATAACATGTGGATTCCTAAGTTCCTCTAGAAATTCTCATTCAGTAAGCTTAGGAGTAAGTATAGGAGTATATGGAGGTGGAGAGGAGAAGATGGTATTGCATTTAAAATAGGCGCTTCCAGTGTTATTTGTTGGTCCTCACATTTTGAGAAGCCATTGATCTATAACATTGTTCTCAGACCTTGCTGTGCTTCAGAATTGCCAAGGGAACTTAGGAAAATTAGATACCCTGGCCTCGTCTCTGGGAACACTTGATTTTGTTGTAGTGAAAGCTGAGGCAAGTTTCTAGCCTAAGCAGGAGATGGATGGACTATAGTTCTGCTTTCATTCTTTTCTAAGTGTAGACTAATTACAGTTGTTCCTAGTTTCTATTAGTGAGTGGTTCGAGGGTCTCTTGGGGATCTGAGGATCATATAAAATAGTATGGGATTTGCATATGACCTACAGGCACCCTCTTGTATACATCATCTCTACATCTATGCAATCATTTCTAGATTAATTATAATAGGTACTATAATTTAAATACCATATAAGTAGTTGTTATACTTCATTGTTTAGGGAATAAGGACAGGAAAAAAAATAATCTGGGAATTTTTAGTACAACCTCAGTTTCCTGTCTTCCCCAGGATGTTTTCTGTCTGCAACAGTTGAATCACTGGATTGAGTTTACAGATTTGGAAATTGTGGATATGGAGAGCTAACTGTAAGGCAGTAAGCCTCCAGAAAATTGTTTATGATCTTAAGTAAAACTCTGCTTGGATTCAATATTCTTTCATAACAAAGATCCAAAATCACTTCATCCAGTCTTACCTAAAACAATACATTATCCTTTAAAGTGGTGTTTCAAATCAAATTAAATTATGTTTATTAAGAGGTAAACATGTTACGTTCTTCCCAGGAGTTGAGGAAAATCATATGTGGGTAGTGGAAGTATATGCATGAATTATTGTTTAACCCTACTGATCATATTTCTATGTAGTCTTCCATTGCAGTTGTTAAAAGAGTCTTGAATGTACTGTTCTCAGAACTGTTTGCCAAGTTTTGGATCTCTGAACTTGGTCAGTCTGAAACCTTGATTTCAGGACTCAGCCTTTCTGCCTGTGCCTTTAGTTACTTGGTTGGGGTGTGTTTGTTTAAGTGTCTTTCTTTTTTTGGAAATGCCTTAAAGATTTTCTTTTTAAATTTCATATTACCCAATTTGGCTTGCCACTTAATTATCATTTGGAAATTCATTCTATCAGAAGTATGTTCTGGAGGCTTTTTAATTGTTTTCTTTCTTTCTTCCTCCTAATGAATTTTAGGAAGACTGAACTGTGCTTTCAAAGTTGATGATCTGGAGTTTGTGAAATAGCTTGCCTCTTAAGCCCCACCCCTACCCGGGGCATGATGTCTCTTCTAACAACATTAGAAAGTTAAAAAAAAAAGTTATGTGTGTAGTGGAGTAGATAAAATTAGTGTTAAGGAAAAGCCAATTTTTGGAGAATTTTGCATTGGTCTGAATGATTTGTTTTGAAAAACTGTAAGAGAATAACCCAAAAGAACTAAATGAGAGTATAATGATACCAGTATAATTAAATACTTTTAGTTAGTAGGATTTGTTAATAGTAAGAATTTAAAGTTGTAATTAGAAGTGGTTTGTGAAGTGCAAAGCTTTGACAAATGTCATTTTTTTGTAGATGAACTCTTGTATTAAGAACCCCCAAATTCTTCTGTTGAAGTGTTCCATTGAATATCTCTACAGAGAGGAAACTAAGTTCACTTGCATTGATCCTATTGTGCTCCAGGTAAGAACTTATTACTGAAAGTAATAATTTGGAGGGATGTTTGTGTACTGTGATGCTTGTCATCTGTTAGTTATTTCAAAAGGAAACTTGTTCCTGTTATATTTACAAAATTATTGTAAAGTACACTTTAATACATAAAAGTATAATACATAATGCTTTAGAACTTGCTTATCAAAACCTCTGTTACTCATTAATGTTAAAGTTTCAAGGTATTAAAAGGAACACATTACTGGAAATATATGGAAGGAAGAGTAAAAATCCAAATGCTGGTTTGTTTTCCTTTCCCACTCAGGCCATTGATTTACTGGGAGAGTTTTTCTAACTTTTTAGACCCTTAGTAGAATCTCCAGGTTGTAATGCAATTGATTCTACTAAAACACGTTTCTAGAACACCAGTTAGCTTATATGTAGTTGGTAAATAGAGGAAAAACACCAGATAGAGGTTGTGTTGGTTTCTCTGTGTTTTGGTTTTTTTTGTTTTTTCCCTAAACAGGGGGTTCTAGAATAGCTGCAGTAAGATTACAACCTCTGGAAAGGTAAATAGCCAGCTCAGTTGCCACATGCTAGATTCCTTTCAGTTCTCTTTTAAGAAAGTAAAAGTGAGCATCTTTTGGCAGGGTGTTCTCCCCAGAGAGGTGCAGCCCAGTCCAGGATGGCTTATGGTAGCTCTGCTGTCCAGAACTTCTTCTCCACTTGGATTGTTGCAGTTATTTTTGTACATACTAAATTTCCCATAAGGCAGTCTCTAGCCATGTTGAACTATCTGCCTGAGCTGTCCAGGTTCTCGGTTAAAACATTCATTATTAATTTTGTTAGTGCTGTGGATATGAAATTGCATAGTTTTAAAGTTTTCTGTTCCAAGGAGGAAAAGGGGGAGAAGGTGGGGGAGGGAGGCAGGGTGGAGAAATGACCCAAACAATGTATGCACATGTGAATAAAAGAATTAAAAAAAAAAGTTTTTTTTTTTTCATTTTTCTTTTATTATTCATATGTGCATACAAGGCTTGGTTCATTTCTCCCCCCCTAAAAAAAAAAAAAAGTTTTCTGTTTCAACCCTTTTCTCTTATAAATGCTGTTAATTTTAGCTTGCGTTCATTCAAATGGGAGATTTTCAGGAATATGTATGTCATATCACAGAAAAACACTGATACCCAGATCCAGAAATATTTAGGAAAAACATTTTTTGAAAATTTATAGGTAGTCACATTTTTCTAAGAGTGGTAGAGTGGCCAGGTGTCCATGGCTCACACCTATAATTCTAGCAACTCAGTCAGCAGAGATGAGGAGCACCATGGTTTGAAGCCACCCCAGGCAACTAATTCACAAGACCCTATCTCAAAAATACCCAACACAAAAAGGACTGGCGGAAATGCTGAAGTTGTAGAGAGCAAACTCTAGACCCTGAGTTCACTACTTGTAGTCCTGCCAAAAAACCCAACCCAACATGGTTTAACCCAGATAACGTAAAGCAGCTTGTGCATCAGTGCTCTCAAACATAGTTTTATAATATCTTTAACTCTTGCCTTATTAAACTTTTTAGTTTGCAATGATAGAAAGTATCAGCTAATTTGGTTTTTTTCTTTTTCTTCTTTCCCTTTCCCCTTTCTTTTCCTTTTCTTCCCCACTGTGGAATAGCTAATCAGAGAAGAAAATGAAGGGTAGATAATAAGAAAAAGGAGGATGAGAAACGAGGGCAAGGAGATAATTAGTCTGTGACTCTTCACAAGGCTTGTCCCACTAGATCAGTTGCTATGCCATGCTCTACTCTGTGTGTGTGTGTGTGTGTGTGTGTGTGTGTGTGGCCTACCTCCTAATACTCTTTCCTAGCTGAGGTAGGACTAGGTCTCCTTTTTAACGGTACTTCAGCTATAGTCATAGTAATGTAATGGAGTTGGAGCTGAGAGGAAATTTATTTGCCAATCCTATACCAGAGGCAGAAACTTTTTGTTTATTTATTTTTTGAGATAGGGTCTTTCTTTGTAGTTCAGCTGGAAGATCCTATTGCCTCAGCTTCCTGAGTGCTGGGATTATAGGTATGTACCACTCACGCTTTATAATTACACTTCATTGGAGCTGCACAATAAAATAATTTTAAATGTCATTAAAATATAATTTAGTAAGTAGAGTAGGAATTTAATACATTTTCAGAAAAATATTGGTAAGGGAGAATTTGATTTTTTTGTTTGTTTGTTTATTTTGAATAGGCTTTTGCTATATAACAACCCAGGCTGGCCTGGGGCACACAATCCTCCTGCCTTAGCCTCCCAAGTGTTGGAACTACAGGTGTTGCCACCATCCACAGTGAAAATGTACAGTTTTGATTACTAAAACAGAAGAAATATTTTCCCTAAAGGGGCAGTTTCATGCAGGAAACAAGCTCATACATTGCTGGTGGCTGTGAACATTAACATGGTCTTGCTCAGGAAACACTTTTGTTTCCTGGAGTAAAAGTGACAAGCATGCTCACCTGCTGTTGTCTCCTGTGTGGAGCCCAGAAGTTTTAGGACATACTTAAGGAATGTATTGTCTTAACTCTGGTTATTATTTACAGTATCTATGTGCTTTGAAATGAAGTCTTTGTGATGAGATTATATTAAGCATTATGTTTCAGATCTTTAGCTGAATATAATCTGTTATATTCACATATATATATATGTATATATATATATATACATATATATATATATATATAAATGATCTAGTGGAAAATACTCAGTTGGGAGATTGGAATTAGGAAGTAGCTAAAGTGGCATCTGCTAGAGAATTATTTGTTCTGATACCCAGAAGAGATTCTCGGGTTTGCTTCAGAATTAAATAGAATTCATAACCATATTGAGAACACTTAGAAATGGCTTTCATTTTAGGAGTTGTAAGGTTAGGTTTTTGTTGCTGTGTGGTTTGTAAAACTAAAAAACCTCTGAGAACTAGATAATTGAGTTCTGGGCTTTTATAATACAGGTTATTAAGAGCTGAAAATCTTTCAAAGTAAAATTAGTTGGAGAGTGGAAACTCTCTTTATTTTAGCATTATCAATAGTTACAATGATGACTGAAATTCTTTGTTGTGTTTGAGTTTATTTGGTTGCAGACTTATTTGTGGATGAAAAAAATTTAGACTGAGAGTGGTATTAATAGTCAAACTATTGTGATATTTTATTATGTCCAGATGTTGAATCATGCCAGGTTTAATATTACTGGTTTATTTTACTTAGGAAAGGGAATTCTTGAAGAATTATGTTCAACGAATAGTTGATGTTCGACCCACATTGGTTCTAGTTGAGAAAACAGTGTCTCGGATTGCCCAGGATATGTTACTGGAACATGGCATTACACTGGTCATTAATGTAAAGTCAGTGAGTGTTCTTATTTTTGTATTTTTATGTCATTAAAAAAAAAATCACAGCTTTTAAATTTATATGCATGTATGGTAGGTATTGTAAGAATCTTTATTTTTTTGCTGCACCATATGTTTTGAAAGTGGGACAGAAGGTATGGTAGCTATTTCATTATTAAGACTGGAGAATCTCACACTGGAAGAAAGTGTGATTGATTAACACTTACTATATAGGTGTCTGTGAGACCAATGGTGGGATGGACATTAACCAGCAAATATTTTGTTGGTTCTTTACATTGACTAGGGAAATGTATAGGTAGAAAATGTTCTTTTTCTTGAATAGTTTACCCTCTGCAGAATCCAGGCCAATTGAAGGAAGGTTTTTGCTTGATGTTTGTTTTCCCATCTTAAGTTTTTTTTGTGCTGATGAATGTTGTTCAAATGTCTTTTGATAATGTTAGTATGAGTATGTTTTTAGTGGTCACGTTGATTATTTAGCAAGTAAGTGTAGACTAATCTGGAATCAAACATTTGTCATATAATTACTAAAATTAAGGAAATTCTTTGTAAGGGTTAATTTTTACTTTTCCAAGTTGAAATTACTAAGATTTTTATTCATGCCTAATTTTATAATGTAATGTTTTTCTGTGTTGTAGCAAGTTTTAGAACGAATCAGTCGGATGACCCAAGGTGATTTAGTGATGTCAATGGATCAGCTGCTCACAAAGCCACAACTGGGCACTTGTCACAAATTTTATATGCAGATATTTCAGTTGCCTAATGGTGAGTCATGTTTAGCATAGATTCACTTGAGATTGAAGCTCTCAGGAAATGAATTAACTCCTAATAAATATTTCACTACTGCTATGTTTACATAGTAGGAAATAGCTATTAGCAGTGGTTAAGTGAGGATAAGTAACCATGGTCTTCTTCTGGTGAAGGTTTTGCTTTTGTAGATGTGAAGATAGTGAATGAATTCTTCTGGACTTCTGGATTGTCACTTAAACTTCTTAACTTTTTGTTTGTTTATTTGTAGACCAAACCAAAACACTGATGTTTTTTGAAGGCTGTCCACAGCACCTCGGCTGCACAATTAAGCTAAGAGGAGGCTCTGATTATGAGCTGGCTCGAGTTAAGGAGATCCTAATATTTATGATCTGTGTAGCTTATCATTCTCAACTAGAAATCTCCTTCCTTATGGATGAGTTTGCTATGCCTCCCATGTTAATGCAAAGCCCTTCATTCCATTCTCTTATTGAGGGACCAGTTGATGAAGGGGCTGCACAGGAACAGTACAGCAGAAGCTCTTTCCCCCAGGATCCTGACTGCCCTCCTGAGTCTCTGTCCTCTGATGATGGCACTTTGCTGGAATCAAGGATTGTGTTTGAGAAGAGTGAGCAAGAAAATAAAAGTGTCCCACAGACTGTTGCCTCTTTGAAGCATCAGGAGTATACCACAACCACTTGCCCAGCAGGTATTCCCTGTGCTCTCTTCCAATCGGTGCCGGAGTCATTGTTGCCACTCCATGTGGACCAACAAGACGTTGTAGTCAGGGTACAGCCAGAGACTTTGCAGCAAGCAGATGAGCAACAGAATCCCAAAAGCCAGATGCGAGCCTTTAGAGACCCTCTGCAGGATGACACTGGGTTGTATGTTACTGAGGAAGTCACCTCCTCTGAAGATAAACGAAAGACTTACTCTTTGGCCTTTAAACAGGAATTAAAAGATGTGATCCTCTGCATCTCCCCAGTAATCACATTCCGGGAACCTTTCCTTTTAACTGAAAAGGGGATGAGATGTTCTGCTCGAGATTATTTTCCAGAGCAAATTTACTGGTCTCCTCTCCTCAATAAAGAGGTCAAAGAAATGGAGAGCAGGAGGAAGAAACAGCTGCTCAGGGATCTCTCTGGACTTCAGGGCATGAATGGAAGTATTCAGACCAAGTCTATTCAAGTGTTGCCCTCCCATGAGCTGCTGAGCACTAGGATCGCTGAGCATCTGGGTGATAGCCAGAGCTTGGGTAGAATGCTTGCTGATTATCGAGCCAGAGGAGGAAGAATTCAGTCAAAACATTCAGACCCTTTTGCTTATTCAAAGGATATATCAGGTACTGCAAATTGTAAATCAGGAAGCAAAACTGAGGGTGATGAAGAGAGAGGGTTGATTCCAAGTGATACAGTGTGGGCAACAAAGGTAAGTCTGACCACTTTCGGGTATACATGTAAATTTAGAGTTGAGAACTCCTTTGGCAGTGTAAAAAAAGAATCAATATGACAGATTGCATGCAAATTTATTAAATATTTCTTATACTCAAGACCAACTCTTAGCTGTGATCTCCTGTAAAATTAAAAACAAGTTATGTACTCCCAAGATATGATGGCACAGAGTAACCATCCCCATTGCAAAGGAGAGGAATGGGGGCAGAGGAAGGAGGGATGGGACAAAACAAGACCAAAACCCTGTAGGGCAAACATTAAATCCTGTAGGTCCATATCTGGCATCGGGGGCAGATGTTGGCATGAGGTGAGCTCCTATGGACTTGGGCAGCCCCATCCCTATGACCTTGTCATTTGCAGCCCACATAACCTGTCTATTGGCTTGGCTTCACTCATTGCTGGTGGCTTTCCTCAGTAGATGCTCCACATTCCTGGCATTTCCAACTTCCTTGGGTCTCCATTGCTCCTGAGAGATTCACACATTTCCCTCCTGGGGCTGCCTGCAGGGTCTCTAACCCTGTCACACATTATCTGGCCTCCTAGGCTTTCCTTTGAAATCTGGGTGGAAGCCTTTATGACCCTATATTCTTTCATTTTGCAAGTTTGCAAAATCAGCATTACATGGATGATGTCAGGGTCTACTGCCAGCCTGCCCATTAGCTGTGCCTCCTTGGACCATGTCTACAGTAGTCTCTGAGTGCTTAGGCAGCTGATTGAGCATAGTGAAAAACTTGCTTCTTTACATGGCCCTGGGCCAGCAGGGGCTAGGCTTCTCTGTCTTCTCAGGGTTTTCAAGAGAAAGCCTTTTTTGGGGGTTGGGATTTGGTACTGGGGTTTGAACTCAAACCCTTGCACTTGCTAAATAGGTACTCTAGCACTTGAACAACATCCTCAACCTATGGTTTTTTAAAGTTTAGCTTAGATGTTTGAGATCATCTTTCCTCAAAAACCAAACTGTTCTCTTTCCTTATATTTAGTTTCTTCTTGTTTTAAATCTTCTGCAGAGTCTCTGCAGTAATGATAGGAGGCTTTACCAATAGAATGGGATGTGCTCCATGTTAGAAGCATGCACTGACATTGCAGTTCCAACTTGTAGTTGCTCATCTGTTCCTTCTCCTTTAGGTGGACTGTCTGAATCCTGCTAATCACCAGAGACTGTGTGTGCTCTTTAGCAGCTCATCTGCCCAGTCCAGCAATGCTCCTAGTGCCTGTGTCAGTCCGTGGTAGGATTCTTCTCCCCTTACACTATTGCACTTAGGAATAGAATTTCAACAACTTTAAAAAAATGTAGCTATTTAGGACCTGTTTTTAGATACCTGATACACTGCTGGTCATATATGAATTGATAGGACCATTAAACTTGTTCACGGGTGAATGAGAGTGCCTTAAGTAAGAGTGAAACAGATGTGAGGGATAGAAGAGAAATTTCTACTTAAAGTGAGAAAGTTGACACACAAAAGTTGACTTAGAAAAATCAAAAGCTGCATTTTAGTGAGTGATAACATGTACAATTTAGGTGGGTTTCCTTTCAGGTATCATTTTATAAAAGCAGTCAACCTTTGGTTTTTATGATTGTTTTTAGAGTTGTACCCAAGGCTTAGGATAGTACCATTGAGCTATATCTTCAGCCCAACATTTTGCTTTATTAATGGGTTTTACTCTAAAACTTAATTCTAAGTAGATAGATAGAAACAGGAACACAATTTTTAGTGTTATAATATTTCAAATGTTAGTCACAAAAATCTCCTGTAGACTTCTATAGTTTTACATTGTATGGTTTACCTTTTACCTTTAATTTGAAAGCTACTTTGGTGAGGCTGAGGATGTAGCTCAGTTGTAGAGAGTGTGCTTAGCAAGTGAGAGGCCTGGGTTCAATCCCCACCATCATACATAAGTACTCGTACACACACAGAGGTACTATAGAACATCACTGTACTTTTTGTAGTACTGTTTCTAAGACAAAACATTTTTCCCATCAGTGAGATCAGGGATTTTTCTAGAAGTGGTGTACCTCTACCAGACCAGCTTCCCATTTGGGTCTGCAAAAGTCCTGAAGAATTTTCTCCTTAGATCAATTCTTGGTTAAGATGTGGGTTTCAATAAGCATACAGTCAAACTCTTTTATCTGTGGGCATTTGTAGGTTAGAAACAAAGGAATTGGCTCTTTAGCAAGAATAAGAGCTGCTGTTCTTCACACTAAGCAAAGGTATGGATCAGGTCGCAGGACACAGAGTTCTTTTTTATGTTGACAGGACATAATGGCTTTGCAAAGTAATCATTTACCTCTTTCTAACACAAACAATTTTACTCAATTAATGTAGTTTACACGTGTTTGTTAAATAGTTTCCATATGTTACTGATGGACTGGGAGTGGACAAAACTTGTTTGACAGATGGAAGTAAAACCTGTTCAACAACAGATAAATAATACTGGCTTTAATACTTCATTATAAGCACACTTAATAATCAGAATAGAAGTCTCTTGAGTGTCTTTGAGTTGTGGTAATCTTTAATGTGTTTCTACAACTAATCTCTTTTAGGATTGTAACAATGGAATTTTATGGAAAGAATGATCTTACATTAGGAATATTTTTAGAGAGATACTGTTTCAGGTAAGAGCTGATTTCCACATTATGTTCCATTATGCATTTTGAGCTCAATGAATGATATATTCCTATAGTGGAATCTTCAAAAAATAAATATTACATTGAACATATAGCATAGGAAAGTAAAATAAATAAGAGACCAATGACAAGCCCAGAATTTCAACCTAAAATGTAAGCACAAGTTGGATGTCAAGTATTGTATGGTCCTTACTTTCATACCATATGTTGGAGTATACCAAACAGGAAAGTAATCTATTTCATATTCAAACTGGATTGTCTCCAGTACTTTCCTCATATATTTCCCTTTTTCATTACCCTGCCATCCCTAAGACTTTTTCAGGTTGTCTGTTTTCACATTCAAATGAGAGGCAAGGGAAGCCTTGGACTTCAGTTTAAGTCTTAGTGTTATTACTCACCACTTACATGACAAGACACAAGTAACTTAATCTTTACCAGCTTCCTTTACATGGAATACAGTGCCTAGAAATGTCTAGGTTTTAATGGGTAAGATGGAAAATAGATGGTGTTAACAATGGAAACTTACTGAACTGTAGTTTAAGACAGGGTGTTCATGTGCAGCTCAGAGCAGCATGAATCCCTGTATATCCTTGGTCATTATTACTCTAGAGGATGCTATATTTCCTTGAGAGTGGTTCTGATTAGCCAGTATTTGTTATGCATGGCTTCTCTGTTTCATGATTAATGTGAGAAAGACTCTCTTGTTGTCACAGGCCTTCTTATCAGTGTCCTAGCATGTTCTGTGATACCCCCATGGTGCATCACATTCGGCGCTTTGTCCACGGCCAAGGCTGTGTGCAGATAATTCTAAAGGAGTTGGATTCCCCAGTACCTGGATATCAACATACAATTCTCACATATTCCTGGTGCAGAATATGCAAACAGGTAAATACATTGTTGCTATATTTCATATGACATTTATTTCTTTATAGTTTTTTTTTGAGGTGAGTGGTCTGTGATATTTTAAACTTTGTTATTGGATTTTTATTCTACTTTCCTGTGCTATATGCTCAATCTAATATTTATTTTTTGAAGATTCCACTTTAGGAATAGATCAGTCATTAAATAAAATAGATTCCTTGTTCAATAAAATATATTGACATTATATCTTTTTTTTATTGTTGTTCTGAGTGGGGTACATTGTGGCATTTACAGAAGTTCTTAAAATATATCAAATACCTCATACTTGAATTTACTCTTCTCTTTCATCCCCCCTCCAGAAATAGTTTCAACAGATATCATCTTTTCCATTTACATACATGTATACATAGTATTTGCACTATATTCAACCTCCTTCACCATTTCCCCACTTCCTTCCCCCTCCCACCCCCCAGGAAGAACCTGTTCTATCCTCTTGTTCTCTGATATATATCTAGACCATTCTCAATTTTGTTTGTTTATTCATTCAGCAGGCACCTCCTATATGCCAGGTATTGTGCTTGACCCTATGAATGAAAAAAGAATAAGGACTGGCTTTTGTCCTCTTGGGGAGAAGATAGTGTATTTAGATATTTACATAATAAATTTGAGCCTGTATCAACATTTCTGTATGAAAATATATAGATCAGACTTTGTTAAAAATGATCTCTACTGGTTTTCATGCATATTTTTGAGAAAGGACTTTTATGTGCACCTTTATTTTTCTAACTCTGGGGCAAATATTTGGTACCAATACTATGTTTTGTTTTTTTTTTTTTTTTTTGGAGCATTGAGGTTTGAACTCAGGGCCTCATGCTTGCAAGGCAGGTGCTCTTACTGTTTGAATCACTCCACCATCCCCAATATTATGTTTTGGTATGTAGTTTTTATTTAAATTGCAGTGATTGTGTACCAAAGTTAACTTTATTGTTATTTTGGATTATGCTTTTGGAAGGCATAACTGAGAGTTATAGGCAAAATAATAGTATGGCATATTAATATCAGTAGTTGACCATAACAAAATCAAAGTGAATTGTCCTGCCATAGCAAAATATTGGCCTGAAATAATTTCTAGTAGTTATTAGTCTTTTTCATCTTCTTCCTCCCCTTCCTTCTCTCTTCTTCCCTCCCCTATCCTTTTCTCTGTTCTTTCTCTTCCACTCCCTTCTCCCCTCTCTTCTGTCTCTTCTCCCTTCCTCCTCCTCCTCCTTTATCTCCTTTATCTTCATGTTCTTCCTTCTCCTTTTCCTCCTTTTCCCTTCCTCTTACTGACCCCACTGCTCACTGGGGTTTGAACGCAGGGCTTACACCTTGAGCCACTCCACCAGCCCTATTTTTGATGGGTTCTGTCAAGATAGGGTCTCATGAACTATTTGCCCAGGCTAGCTTCATACTGCAGTTCTCCTGATCTCTGCCCCCTGAGTAGCTAGGATGACAGGAGTGAGCCACCGACATCTGGCCTCATCCTCTTCTTTTGCAGCAGTGGAGCCCAAACTCAGGGCTTTGCACATGATTGGCAAGCACTCTACCACTTAGCTGCATTCTTAGCCCCCTGTAGACCTTTAGTTCCTGTTAGGTAGCTGGTAACATTTCTATCTGAACTCTGTAGATTGACTATTGTATTAAATGATTAACTTAAATTTTAGCTTTATGTTTTGCATGCTTTGGTATATACACTTTAAAAAGAAAAGCTTCTACTTTTGGAGTTATGCTAGAAAGGAAAAGATAGTTTTGTTACACAAAAATGAAAAACTTCTAGTATAAGAAAAGTTATCGTATGTATGACCAAACAAAAATACTTTATATTTCTATAAGCCACTGTAATAGAAAAAAGGGCAAAGGGAAAGACAAAACAATTTAATACAAATAACCAGTAAATGAAGGAGGGTGAATATGGTCAACATATTTAGTATACATGTATGAAAATTGAACAATGAAACCTTTTGAAATTGTTCTAAGAAGGGGGATGAGGGAGAATGAGGGAGGGGGAAAATATAATAAAGGTACATTGTAAGTACATATGGAAATGTCATAATGACACTCACCTGTACAACTAATATCTGCTAATAAAAAAAAAAACCCCAAAAGCAAATGGTCAGTAAATGTGCAAATTTTACTCATTAGTAGTCATACCTACAAATGAAATAAAATACCTTAAATCTTAAGGAATCACATTCCAAAGATTTATAGGAAAGTAGGGAAATTGTCACTCTCATATACTCTTGTTGTTGTTTTCTGTGAATCAGTACATCTGTTTTGAAAGAGAATATGGCTGAAAGTATCAAAGACCACTGACCATTGCCCTTTGCTCTACCGAGGAAATAATTATCAGTATTTCTAAGTACACATATACAAGGATGTTCATCAGAGCATCATCCAAAGAAGTAAAACCTTGTATCAAATGCATAGCAGTAGGGATTGGTTAAATATATAGCTGTACAAAAGGATAGGATACAAGTTGTAAAGAATATTTTGTGGGAAAATGTTCATGATATATTGCTAAGTTAAAGGTTATGAAACTGATTATAGGACTTTTTGTTTACAAATATACTGACTATATATATTCATATATAGAAATAAAGTAAATGTTTATAGGTATATTGATGTTGGTGTGGAGATTATTAGTGATGTTGCTTTCTCTCACCACCCTGTTTCCTGCCACTTTTGAAGTTTTTGTTCTTTTTCTGGTTTTCTTTTGTCAGAATATATTCAGATTCTCAGCTGGGTGCCAGTGACTGACACCTGTAATACTAGCTACTCAGGAAGCTGAGAGATTAGGAGGATCGTGGTTTGAAGTCAGCACAGACAACTAGTATGCAAGACCCTATCTCAAAAATACCCCACACAAAAAAGGGCTGGTGGTATGGCTCAAGTAGTAGAGTGCCTGCCTGAGTTCAATAGCCAAAAAAAGAGATTCTCATTATGTGACTATATAAATTATTTATGCTAATTCCAGGTAACACCAGTTGTTGCTCTTTCCAATGAATCCTGGTCTATGTCATTTGCCAAGTACCTTGAACTTAGATTTTATGGGCACCAGTATACACGAAGAGCCAATGCTGAGCCCTGCGGTCACTCCATCCACCATGATTATCACCAGTATTTCTCTTATAACCAAATGGTGGCATCTTTCAGGTAAGATGTCATTATCACATTCCTTGAAGACTTTATAACATTACTAGATTGAATTTGTGAGTATGTGTGGTTCCTCATCTCTACCCTTGTAAACATGCAGGGCCAGACTCTACTAAGAGCTTTGTGTTATTATTTCTTACCCTCAGAAATAGGTATGATTATTATCCTTACTTACAGACTTTATAGATGCTATAAATGAGGATAATAATATTATATGTTCACATTTAGAGCTACCAAGTTATAGAGTCATGATTTGAACCCTGGGTCAATCTTCTACTACTGACCTCATTCATAACAACTGTTTTGGCATCTGAAAGTCTGTCAGAATATTTGATAAGGCATTAACTACCCTAAAGATAATGAAATACTTTTGGTAAAGGTAAAATTCCAAGTTTAGAGAATAGGTAGTCATTATGGTACTAAATAATTTGAAAAAGTCTTTTGACTCTGCCTTCAGAGCACTGTGGGCCAAGCCTCTGTTGTATTTCATCAAGGCATTGCAGTAGCCCCAGGCAGTCTCTCTCTAGCCTTTCCCCAAGTGGTTTGCGCTCAGTGCAGCAGTCGGAGTGATCCTATTAAAGGAAAATCAGCGCAGGTCATTCCTCTGCTCTAGATACTCCAAAGAGTGTCTGATTCTCCCTGATTGAAAGCTAGAGTCTTGTTACTGGACCTTTAAGCTCCTACATGCTCTGGCTGCCCAGGGCCCTCCTGTTCTCACCTCCCCTCACTTACCCTGTTGCAGCTTCACTGGTTCTCTCCTTGGGTCTCAGCTATGTCAGGTAGGTTCTGCCTTGGAGTTATTTGTGTTTGTTCTTCCTTCTCTGTGCTGCTCATTCACCAGATATCTGCTTGCTGTTTCCTGTGGGTCTTCATTTAAATGTTACCTTCCCTGACACCCTCTCATGACAAGCATGCCTGCTTCTCTTTCTGGCTTTATTTTTCTCCATAGCACTCTGATAAGTCTTAAATCTTTGTGTTTTTTTCTCAAATTATGAGAGCAGAAATTTTGACCCTTGGTTAGTACTATATCCTTAGCACCAAAAAATGTCTGGCATATAATATACTTTCAGGAAACATTTGGTAGTTAAAACTTACTTCCTTTTTAAAGCAAGAGCTTTAAATCATAAATCTAGGTTATCTCAAGTGGAAAGCACAGAAAGACTCATGAGGAATTGTCAAGAGCTGGGAAGGTAATAAATACCTGTGTTTAAGTTAATCGTAAGACAGAGTCTCTTTCCTTATTCGTAAAGAAGGTTTAGCCTCGAAGGGATAAATGATGGCATCACAGTGCAGTGCTAAAACAAAATCCTTCCTGAATTGGGGAAAATTTTTTATGATTGAAAGTTATATTCTATAGCTTTATGATTATTTTAAGACATTTTATAGAAATTTCATTTTCTCTTATGGCTCCTTAGGATTTAGTTGACCATATGTAGTAGCCCTACTCAAGGTATTAAAATATTTTCCATTTTTCTATTACTTGTGTTTTCTTCTCAGCTATTCTCCCATTCGGCTTCTTGAAGTATGTGTTCCACTCCCCAAAATATTCATTAAACGTCAGGCCCCATTAAAAGTGTCCCTTCTTCAGGATTTCAAGGACTTCTTTCAAAAGTAAGTGAGTTTCTTTGATCATCCACTTTTGTTTAGTAATGTCTGTAATCTACAGCTGTTTTAAATTATCAGGTAATGTTCTTAAAAATGTGAATAACTTTTCTAATTGTATATTACATGCTAGATATGAAAAAAGAAAAATATAAGTAATATAGGAAAACATTAAAAAGCAAGTCAAATTCTCAGACATAAAAACAACTTAAAATTTTGAAGTACATCCTTTCAGGTTTTTCTTTGCTGGACAAAATTATATGTAATATATATAATAATATATGTAATTCCAGGTAGCTGGGATTACAGGTGTGAGCCGCCACCACACCTGGTTATATGTGATGATTTTTAATTAGATAGAACATTTCAGTTTAGCTTTGTATATAACTTCTTTTTTTCTTGTTTATGTGAGATACAAAGTTTGATTTCACATTCTCTAAAGTGTTTTACTCTTTTTAGAGTTTCACAGGTATATCTAGCTGTTGATGAAAGACTTGCATCTTTGAAAACTGATACATTTAGCAAAACAAGAGAGGAAAAAATGGAAGATATCTTTGCACAAAAAGAGGTAGTTTATTTCTTTGGTAGAAAATCCAAAAGTTGACTTAATTTATTAGAAGTTTCTGTTGGTGTGTTGTCTGTATGGAGTCTCAGTGTACTGAAATTGTATCTGTTGCCTTCTAGATGGAAGAAGGTGAGTTCAAGAACTGGATTGAGAAGATGCAGGCAAGGCTCATGTCTTCCTCTGTAGATAACCCTCAACAACTGCAGTCAATCTTTGAGTCACTCATTGCCAAGAAACAAAGTCTCTGTGAAGTGCTACAAGCTTGGAATAACAGGTATGCCTTTGCAATCTAGTTTTCCTTAACACTGTTGCCAAATTTTCTCTACTGTATTTTTAAATTTAAAAGTCTTTATTGATTGTAGATGTATCATTTTATTCTCAAGTTATAAAGAAGCTTTTTTTTTTTTCTGGTCTCCTTCCCCTCTTTAAAAAATAGTACGCTAATCTTTAGTTTGTGAAGATATTAAAACAAAAGCCGGGAGCAGCCCTCTTTGCTATCTCAAATGTATGTTGCTGAGTAGGATGTAACTGAGTTGGTAGCCATAAGTGATGATTGGTTTGAGGGGCAGGAAGATCAAATTTACTAACATTTTATCTTATTTAAATAATTTATTTTTAGAAACACTTTCCTTTATAATAGCTTGCTATTCTTTTATACTTATAGTCATATTGAGAAGAGCTTTTGATTAGCTGACAAGAACTTAGTTCTAATTATGTACAACTTTAAAATCTATTACAATCCAAGGAGAAAATTTGGTTGTTATTTCAGAGTTGTAAAGAAAAAAATCAATAAATATAACTCAGGGTGCTAGAAATAAAGCCATACTCTTTTTCTTTTGCCTTTGGATGTAGGTTACAAGACCTTTTCCAGCAGGAAAAAGGTAGAAAGCGGCCTTCAGTTCCTCCAAGTCCTGGAAGACTCAGACAAGGGGAAGAAAGCAAGGTAGTGAAATGTAGTCTTTTGGTTGGTCCTTCATTGGTAATTTAATACATAATTCATTAATATCAATTCTGTCTTGAAGTTGTGAGGTTTTAAGGTGATATCCACTGGTAGAGGAAAAGGTGTGGGTGTCAGAGTGTGTAGCTGAGCTCTTACTTTTCTCAGTGTCAGTTTTGTGTGTTCTTTATATCTGTGCTTAAATGAGCAACTCTTCTTAAAGTATCAGGACTTTATAAGTTGTATGCATTAATGTAATTGGACTTTTCCAGCTTTATTAGTTTTCTTTTGCTGGGTAAGAAATTGCCACAAACTTTGTGTTTAAAAACATGAATTTATTATTTCCAAGTTTCTGTGGGCTAGAGGTCTGGCGTGTATGGCTGGGTTCTCTGCCCAGAATCTCTTGGAGTTCAAATCAAGGGTTGACTAGGGCTCCGTCTTGTTTGAAGCTCAGGGTCTTTTACCAAGCTTGTTCAGGTTGCTGGCAGAATTCAGTTCCTGTTGGAGGGCTGAGCTCTCTTTTGTTGGTGGCTGTTGACCACCCACAGACACCATTCCTACCTCCTTTAGGCTAGGCTCCCTGCATTCCTTGCCATGCACTCTGTTCAGTTCTCAAAGCTTTCAAGGATGGGTGAATCCTTCTTATGGTTCAGATCACTTACTTTCTCTGTCTCTGATTTATAGACCCAGATTTAAGGACTCAGGTGATTACATCAGGTCCACTTGGATTTCTCTGTTTTCAGGTCAACTAACTTGGGACCATAATTACATTTGCAAAATCCCTTTACAGCACTACCTAAGTTAGTAATTGGGAGAGGGTGTATCTGTATCAGGGCCTGGAACTCTTAGAGCCCTTTCGAATTCTGCCTAACATGCTGCCCAAATTTCACATGAATTGATGTCAGTATAAGGGCCTCATGTTCCAGTATCACAAGGGCTTTTGTATAGCGTGTCATATTTGTAAAGGAATGTTTTCATGGACTGATGGATCAATATTTTTGTTATTTAGTAATAATGATTCTTCCCTTTTGTCTCTCAGAAAACTATGTAGGAATTATGTTTTCTTTAAAGTTTAGGTCAGAGTAAGAATAAGATTACTGAAGATGATCTGGATGTTAGTATTTGTCAACTAGTTACAGGTTGTTAAAGACTAGTGTACACTCCAGATGGCCTTTTCATGTGCTCTCTGAAGACATTTCAAAGCTAATAGTGTAAGGCCTTTAGGTTATAGCATATAGTCAGAGAATTGAAAATATAAGATCACTTAATAGTTGGCCATCTATTGAAAGATTGAAAATTGATTTAAATTCTGTTTTACTACCTTTATATTTATTTATTCATATGATAAGTTCTTGAGTGCTTATTATTGGCTGGACATTTTTCTTTCTTTTTATTTTTTAGGCAGGGTCTTGCTGTGTAGCCCAGGCTGGCCTCAAACTTGTTACGTAACTGAGGCTGCCCTCAAACTCATGATTCTCTCACTTCAGCCTCCCAAGTGCTAGGACTATAGGTGTGTACCACAATGTCTGTCTGGGTTGGGGATTTTTCTAAGATATAATGTATACAGTTATGAATAAAAATCATAGTTACTGTCCTAATAACACATTTGTTAGAAAACACATGAACCCTTAAGCATTAAAAAAATATAAAAAGGCTATGAAGAAAAACACAAAGGAAATGGTTTTGCTGAGGAAGTAGATAGTAATGGTGGGTTATTTTAGGAAGGGTGCCGGGAGAGATCTCTCTGATATTGTTAACTTTAATTAGTGACTTAAGAAGTGACTTTGTAACAAAATTGTATCCGGAGCTTATAGTCATGCTAAATATATGTTATTCATAGATAATAGATTAGCAGATGTTCAGTAGATAATAAAAGATTATTAGGCTTTAAAGGACAGTCTTGAGTATTCTTAAAGGCTTCGATGCTAAGAAGTCAGCTGCAGTTTAGAATAATATTCTGAAAGTTCAGCTAGCCTCAGGACTCTGTCTTTTGTCTCTCAGAGGATTCTGTGATGCAATTCATGTTGGCAGACTGCAGCCTGCAGTTTCTCTCACTGAGTTTTGCTGTGCTACCTTAGTCAGTGCCTGGGTTAGTGCCCATGAAGGTGCAAGGTTTGAGGAATCTGTGTTGGCTCACTGCTGGCAGCAAGCTTGTGAGAAGTTGATGAAATCTAGGCCAGTGTGCCACTAGTTATACTCTTCTTAGCAGTTCTCCTTAGGAGTCTATTTTCTGATTGTTTTGATTCCAAGTTGCTGAAAAGTTTGAAGGGGCTGCCTGCCTCTTCTAATCTACTGTCTTTGTTCCCTCCAAACAAAACAAAACAAAACAACAAAACCCGGTTGTGATGTGTTTCTTAAAGGCAACAAATACCAGGGTCCTGTTTTTGTTTTGTTTTTTTTTTTAAATTCAGCCTGCCATCCTGTATCTTTTGATTAGTGAATTAAGACTATTAACATTCATTGTTATTTTTGTATGATTTGTAGTATTTCCTGTCATTGTGTTGTTTTTATGATGTTTGCTTCTTTCCTAATCCTCATTTGCTAATATACTTGTCTAGTGGGATTTATTCTTTTCTGTATTTTCCTGGTTGCATTTATGTTCCTCATCTGCATGGAGGATTCCTTTAAGTATCTTTTTGCAGTGCTGGTTTAGTGGTCATGAATTCTGTTTGGTGGTTTTTTTGTTTTTAATCACTGAAGTTTTTTTCTTTCTTCCTCAATCATGAGAAATAGCTTTGTTGGATTCAGTAAACTTATTTGACTATTATTTTCTGTGAGAGCCTGGAATTTATCATTCCATCCTCCCCTTGCTTTTAGTGTTTGTGTTGAGAAGTCATCTTGGTTGGCCTTTGTAAGTGACTTGTCACTTCTCTCTTGCAGCTGTCAATATGTTTCTTAGTTCTATATATTTACTGTTTTAACTGTAATATGTCTAGAGGTGTTTCTTTTCTGATATTGCCTGTTGTGCTCTCCTTCTGTGCCTGTATGACCCACTCTTTCTCATGATTGAATATGCTTTGTGCTGTTATTTTACTGAATATGTTATCTGTGTCTTTTACTTGTACCTCTCTTTCATCTATACCCATGATTGATAGGTTTGTTTTTAATGTTGTCCTAGAGGTCTTGCATGTTCTATTTGTATTGTCTTAATATTTTTTCTTTGTCTTTGATTGCTTGATCTAATTTTTCTAGTTTATCTTTATTCCCTAATATTCTATTTTCAACTTGTTCCATTCTAGCAGTGAGGCTTTCAACTGAGTGTTTATTTGGGTTATTGATCTTTTTTTTATTTTTTTGTCCAGGATTTCAATTTGATTTTTTTATTTTAGGATTTCTATATCTTTAATGAATTCCTCTTTCAAATCCTGTGTTTTCTTCCTTATTTCATTTAGCTGTTTATTTGTATACTCCCAACTTTTTCTTTTTCCTTTTTTTTTTAAGCAGTAGTGGGGTTTGAAGTCAGGACCTTCTCCTTGCTATGTGGAAGCTCTACCACTTAAGCCATACCCTCTGCCCTGTTTGTATCCTCTTTGAATTCATTAAGATGTTGATACATGCCCTCTTTAATTTTGTTGATAATTTTTATAATTGTTCTTTTTGAATTTGTTATTTGAAATTTCATCTGCTTTACTCTCTTTCAAGTCCTTTATTAGGGATTGGCTGATTTTTGGAGGAGATATGTTAACTTGTTTTTTTAATATTACTTGTGATTCTATCTTAGAATTTATGCATTCGAGGCAAAGTTTTGGTTGTCCTAATTGCCTGTGTCTTTTCAGTTGGCGTTTTCACACTGTTCAGGCAAGACTGGACAGTGGCTGGTTGTGGTGCTTTTTCTTGACACTAGATTGGGAGATGTGGCTCAGTAGTGAAGCATTTGCTCACAGCACTCAAGACACTGGGTGTGGTCCCCTTCTCTCATGGGCAGGAAACTTGGCTGCAGCAGTGATAGCTGTCTAATACATACTGTGAGAACACAGCAATCTCTAGTAAAGAACAATAAACACCACTGCTCCAGTATCTTGAGAGGAATTAGGAATGAAGATAATACTTCATGAACTAGGAAAATGTTAATTGCTATGAATTGTAAATGGGAAGAAGATAGTAGGGATATTAACAGTGGATAGTAGAAGGTGTATGGTATTCTAAGGCTGGAAGAGGAAGTGACTAAGGTTAATAGAGTGGGGTACTTAGAAAGTGGCATGAGATAGGTAGAAAAGATATAGCCAGAGGTGCATTGAGAAAGAAAGGAGAACGAAAAGAAGAAAAACAACCAAACAAAAAACTGATCTGGCCATCTAACTACCTGCTAAAAATAAAAGTTAACAAAGGATTGTGAACTGGGGAGGAGAGAGAAGAGTAGATGGAGAGAAATAGAAATGGGAGAGGGCAATAGGGGAAGGAAGGAGAAGACAGGGTTAAAAGTGAATATTGAAAGATGGGTGTTGTGGCTCACATATGACTTGATAAAAAGGAAGAGAGAGAAAGCGAGCAAAAATATCCAAAACTAATACATGTAAAAAGAAGAAATAACCCAAACAAACTATTTTCTTAGTCACTCTCCCCAGCTGCTTTTTCCTGGTTTTAAGTCTGAAGTGGTAGTTCCAGTTAGGGAACTTGGCTGGCTTGTAGGGTGGCTTCTCTGGGTTCCCCAGTAAAGGAAAATGGATTTAGAGTTCTGACCGTAGGGTTTGGGGGTCTCAACCCCATAGTTCCTAGTCACTCCCCACTTAATGTATGGTGTGTTCCATCTCTTTACCCTTGCCAATTCATAGCCTGTTCTTTAGTCAGGCACCCTTTTGTTCCTAAGTCAACTATTGCTGTGTTGTGCTCTAGGTTAGTTAGCACTTTCCCCAGTTATGTCACTTAGGTCCAAGCCACTGAGATTTTCTAACTGGAGCTGTGATTAATAGCTGGGCCATGATTCTCCCTGTGAGGGTTTCTGTGATGCAGTTGCTGTGGTCTCCTTAGTTTCCAGCACAGCCCTGTCTGGCTGAACTGGAGATCTCTGCCACCTTCAACTTCTTTTACCCAGCTCTCTCTCTTCCACTTTTGGAATTGGTGTACCCCATGCTGCATTGTTCATGGGTCTGCACTGCCAGTGAGCTTGTGGTATACTGATGATATCAAATGTACTGTGTCACCAGTACTGACTTTCTTAGCAGTTCTTCAGGGGGTTTGGTGTGAGAATAGCTGTGTGTAAGGTGTGTCTGTGAGAAGAGATGCTGCTGATATCACTCAGCTGCCATCTTTGTCTTTTCTATCTGACTTCATAATTTTTTAGTGTAAACAGGTCCTGATATCAAAAAGTTTAAGATTTACTGGGTTAGACAATTTTTAAAATGTGATTTCAATGCTTTCTTAAGAGCATTATATTTATTTCTCTTTAGATAAGTGCAATGGATACATCACCACGAAATATTTCTCCAGGGCTTCAAAATGGAGAAAAAGGTGGGACCTTAAGTCTGGTAACCACTTGCCAGTGGATTTAAAGAAATTTATTAATGTATAAGTTGTTTATAACTACTAGTTTTGAGCATTTTTTTCTAATGCAGTTGTTCATTGACTTTCTTTTTTCTTTGTGTAGAGCATTTATAACTTTTGTGAGCCTAAGACTATCACATAGCACATCATAAGAAGATCAGTTAGAGTACAGAAATATATAAAATATAGAAAAGGTTGATCTTAGGAAAAAAACGGAAGGAAATTGAATTTTTATTTTCTAGTTCTATTTTTCTTATTCCTTAATCAACCCCAGATTTCATTGTAAAATTCTCAGAACACTTAATTTATACTTTTAATGTTATTAAGGTCTTTTCTTGGCTTTAAGCTATCTTCCGTAGTATTTTATTAAATAACTTGATATCATCACTGAAGCTTTGTGGAGACGTTTATGTAGGCTTATCTTTATTGAGCAAGAGCTTAATTCATCACTTTTGGTATTTTTCTATAATAATCATAATTTAATGGTTTTTCTTCTCCCCCAGAATGAACATCTAATTTTCCCCACAGTGTTTTAATTTCATTCACTGTTAAAATAAGTAATATTTAGGTAGACATTGTGTTAATAGTGGGAAGAATATTAAATTAGTAGGAGTCAAAATTGGTTGAGAGTCATAGTAATGCCACCAAGATTTGATTGTGCTTAAGTCATGTAACCTTTCTGGATTTTTTGCAGTACTGGGGTTTTGAACTCACAGCATCGCTCTTGCTAGTCAGGAGCTCTACCACTTGAGTCATACCCTTAACCCTTACTCTCTGGATTTTGTGTCCATAGCTATGGTATGAGCTACATGACCTAGATAGTTTTTAAAAAGCTAAAATTCTGTGTTTTAGGAAGTAGAAATATACAGCAGCATTTAAAATAATTAAGTAGAAATAGACTTAATGATTTTTAAAAGTCTCATTTAACATGTGTGTTTCTATAGAGGATCGTTTCTTGACAACCCTGTCCAGCCAGAGTTCCACCAGTTCTACCCACCTCCAGTTGCCTACTCCACCTGAAGTCCTGGCTGAGCAGTCGATAGGAGGGCCCCCTGAACTAGATACGGCCAGCGGTTCTGAAGGTATACCTTAGGTCACTTTTACCATACTCCATTGAATCTAAGACTGAAGATTCTTTGGTTTATTTGTTTCTCTGAGAAAGAAAAGCACTGCTAATTTTTGATATAATGATTTCTTATCCTTTAGAAGTTTTTCTTTTTTATCCTTTAGAATTTTTTACTTAAAGTACTTATTGAAAGCATGCTAACAATTAAAAAAATTTATGATACTAGAGATTGAATCACTTGAGCCATTACACAACTCTTGTTTTGTTTTTGTTTTTGAGATAGGGTCTCAGTAACTTCCTAGTCTGGCCTCGAACCACAATCCTCTTGCCTCTGCCTCCTCAATAACTGGCGTTACCACCATGATGCCCAGCTCAAAGTATTTTTTAAAATACAGCTTTTCATAATGCCACTTCTTCCTTTAGTTGCACTACTTGATGAGTAATAACTATTTCAGTAATAAAATGTCATTCACCTTCATCTACTTTCTGGGGCTTTTACTTTCTTGTTGCATAAAGCCTATGGTTGTTGCTTTGTAGAATATGGAAGGAATTGCTGTCATTTCTCCATACTTACTTTATAATATCAAATTTATGCCTTCCCTTTCACTGCCTTTTGTTTAAGTAGTAACTACTTAATTATAGTATAAACTTTGTCATTAATTTCACCATTGCTGCTAAACTCAGGTGTAGTAATAGCCATAGTGCACATAACTGAGTTGAAGTGATCACATGATTAGCTCAGGTAGAACTTCCCTCATGACTGCTGCCTGGCTCCCCTGTTGGTTAGAAATAGATTGCAGGATAATCTCAGTTTCATACATGTTAAAATGTAAGGGCAAATACATGTCCCTTGGAGTCAATGCTGTGTATGTTCCACTATCACTACTATTTTATCCCCTAAGAGTCATTTTTGTTAGATCAGAAATTTTAAGCCATAATTGATAATTATGGCATGGATATGCCTCTTTAGAGTCCCAAAAGAAAAAGAAATAATAAAGTTGGCACTTTTACTTTTTATTCTTCCTGAATATTAATATATAAAAAGAATATTTTTCATCCTAGATGTGTTTGATGGACATTTGTTGGATCCACAGACAGCCAGGTGAAGGAAAAGTCTACCATGAAAGCCATCTTCGCAAATTTGCTTCCAGGAAATAGCTATAATCCTATTCCATTTCCTTTGTAAGTATTATAAAAAACAGTGGCTATTTTAATTATAAAAATCTCTCCCAGCTTTTTGCCTACATAGTTAGATATGTTTATATGCAAAAATGTATTTCTCAATTTTAAATTTTATGTCATTGTAGTAAAAGAGGTGTTTTTGACATGTAACTTATAAAATGTGTAATGATTATATAGTAGTGAATGAATGAAAAAAGCATTAGCTCATATACATATATATATTATGAATAATAATTTTATATATATATGATATACCACTACATTTACTGATCTCATAATCTTAAATATTGCTTGAGGTTATTGCTGGCCCAAATAATTCACTGGGACATGGCACTTTGTAGCAGTGATGATGAGTTACAATAACCTATGCAAATTTTCATATGAACTTTTTTGTATAGGGCCCACTGAGACTAGGGTGGAGTATAAACTGGCTGTGAAAGCTTATTTTTCTCACACTGGTGTATGGCCATCATACTGCTTGTTACAGTGACACAAGTTTATCTAAAAGGCTGAATATTTGTTAATAAGGACTTTTGTTTTTTCTCAGTTGACTTACACATTCATTCAGTAGATATTTAATCTTTTTTTATTTAGTGTCTGCTCTGTTGCTCCAGAATGTTGAACAAGATTTCTAAAAAAAAGTCAGTGCTTTTAGAGACTCATGATCTTGGGGAGAAGACATGTAGGTCTTCATAGAACTATGTGTAATAGATGTTAGTAGTATATAAAAGCTCCCTGTTTTCTCTACTTCAGACCTGAGTATCTGTTTCCTGAATGGCCTGTGATCCCTCCTATTTTATGACCTTTGTTTTAGCCTCTCATCTTCTTACTTAATCAGTAAGTCCTATTCTTTTTCAGGAGAACTTTGCTAGACCCTTGCCTCATGGTCCTGCACTAATCAGATTAGGTCTTTTTGTTATGTGATCTAGTGATTCCTGTCTTAGTTTAAGCCACTTTGAACTAAGTGGCTTGTAAACAGCAGAAATTTATTTCTCACATTTTGGAAGTTGGAAGTCTGAGATCAATGTGTTAATATGGTTGGGTTCTGGTGAGGGCCTCTTCCAAGTAGACGCTCATCTTCTCTTTGTATCTTCACATGGTGGCAGGTGCTGTACCACTTGAGCCACATCCAGCCCAAGAAAGCTCACTTGAGTCCCTTTTGTAAGGGCACAATCCCATTCATGACGACTCTACCCTTGTAATTTTAATTACCTCCCAAAGGCCCCACCTCCTAATACCACTTTGTTGGGGACTAGGATTTTAACATGATTTTTTTGTGTGTATGTGTGTATGGGAAAACAAAACATTCATTCCATAACAATTCTCTGAGCATATATCAATAGAGTAATTTATGTATTTGTAGAATTATAAATTCTACTATGCCTATTTTTTCACCAGTATATTGTTAGCATCTCACATGTGTAAAGTACTTAATAGTAGTTTTCCTCCATATTATATCCTTAGCACATTAGGTGTTTAGTTAGTAGCACTTACATAAAATGAATGACTTGCCTAACAGTGTCTAGAGGAGTTAGAGTTAGAATGGAGGTCAGGGGAGCAAAATTCGGGTTGAAATGGACTCACCATTGAGTTCCCTTGTGATAATGATAGAGTGCCTGTGTTGTGCTAATCATTGTTGAACTAGTAGCATGTTTTCTCTGCAATTTTCAAAAGACTTTTCTCTAATGCTTGTAGAAGAACTAAATATTTTAGACTTCTGTTGATTAGAATTGTTTTTGAGATTCATATGGCCAAAGTCTTGGCAGTATGGAAAGCTTTATTTGAAGTAACTATTCCAGAACCCTCTCATTTGAAACCTAATTCCAATAATTTTCTAGTTGCCTTCAATTTGTTTTCTCATAATCTTTCTGTTGCCTCTTTGATTCAAGTTCTCAGTACCTGTATACATTTTGGCTTAATTAATTATATTCTTACTGTGCAGTATTTGGTTAACATAAAATTGTTCTGAGATTTACTTGAACTGTGTTAATAGGTTTTATATTTGACTTTCTTGTAATTTCATTCTTATTATTTAATTGATTTTTCAAAATTTGAACAGTGATCCAGACAAACACTATTTGATGTATGAACATGAACGGGTGCCCATTGCAGTCTGTGAGAAAGAACCCAGCTCTATCATTGCTTTTGCTCTCAGGTATTATTTATGGGACTTTTTCTCTTATGGCTATATCTGTATATTTTATGTATGTCCCCTATTTTGGGGATCTTTAACATAAATGAAAATTATTAAGTATAAATATTAAGTATAAACAAAAATACATATTCTTTAAGCATGATCTTTTTTTTGGTAGCTAAAACCTTCTCTTTATCCAAATGATGGGGTGTAGCATTTTCTTAAGCAAGTTTCTAATAATTAACTTGACTAGACAAGTTATTTACTAATCCTTGAATCCTCTAACCATTCTCTCTGTTATAACTTATAACCCTTGTATCCCTTACTTTGACTTAGTTACTGACATTATACTTGGAACATACATACCTTATGTCATCTGGACATCATTTCCAATTCCTACTTCCCTCACATATTGGGTAAAATTCTCCTACTTAGAGAATGCTATTCCTATAGTTTACTTCATACACATGTCTGAGTTTTGTAATTTACAGTTAGCATTTGTTAGTATTTGAAAGATGCCTCATATGTAAAAAAAATACATATATACTATGTCTAAAAACCCCAGTGTTTTAGTCATAAAAGTATCTTGGCAGTGGTTTAACTTAGTTTAAGTAGAATCAAAGGTGTTTAATTAAAATTTTTTTCCACTGTAAGGCATTAAAGTTAAAATGTTTCTTTTAAGGTATTGGTTACAAGGTATACATTTACTCAATAAATATTTGAATGTATACAAAATGTGTTATTAGATATACAGGGGTAAATAAGATAGTTGTATATGCCCCTGCCTTTATGAATTTAGTTTACTGGTGGATAATGAAAAATTTCTCCTCTACAGGATTCCATATGATAATTTTTTCCTTGTCTTTTATTCTTCATGAAGATAGTATTTGCTTCTCACCTTATTGAGTAGCTGTAATATATTAATAGATAAGAAAGGTATAAAAATGAAAACATGTTTTGTACTATCATAAAGCGGCTACTCTAGTTGAGGTCATCTCCTTTCAATGTCTTAGAAAAATATTTGCCCTAACACACTTCTCTTGTTCCATGGCATTTGATTTATTGGAAGCACAACTCCCAGGCTGCTACTACAAGAAGTAGAGTTTTTTTTGGCAAATAGACATGATTTTTCTTTTTCTTAAAGTTTAGTACCTATAAGTGGAAAGCACTGTCAAGTTTCTTTACTCTCTATTCTACTAAATCTTGATGTTTCATATTTTTAACTTACCTCATTTAATCTAAGTATTAGTAACTAGGAATTTTTTTTTTTTTCAGTGGTGGGGATCCAACCCAGGGCTGCCAGGCAAGCACTCCACCACTGAGCTACATCCCTAGCACTTTTAACTCAGATATTTTTTTTTTGACCATTGTTAAGGTTATTGGTACTGGTTTGTGAGTTGGTGGGTTGTTTTTTGTATTATTCTCTGTGAAGATACTGACTTTTCTCTTGAATCTGGTACTTGATCATTTTTGCTAACCCAAATGTACTTAATTATGGATACTTAAAATGATTGTGTTTCTATAATGCAGATCTTATTCTAAAGCTTATAATACATTTCAAAAGAAGAGCTTAATGTTTAACATTTTTCAACTTATTTCTACCCAAAGTTGTAAAGAATACCGAAATGCCTTAGAGGAATTGTCTAAAGCAACTCTGTGGAACAGTGCTGAAGAAGGGCTTGCAACAAATAGGTGATTCATGATTAAATAATGTGTATTTTAGTTTAGCTACATCATTTTCTGTGTTCTTGCACTTCAGTTCTATTGTAGCATATTATCAGTATAAAAATTTCTTGGATACAGATAATGGTATTCATTTCAGCCAGTAATCAAGACAACAAAAAAATATAACAAAAGACTTTAAACAGTCCCTTAAGATGTAGTTTTCTACCAATTGCCATAACAGTTCAATGTGTATTGCAAATTTGAACTTGCATCATTTTTGAAAAATATGACAATAAATTATATTTAAAAAATATAACTTTTTCAGATAATAATTTTTCAAATATAATTTTTTCATTTAAAAAACAACAACTTTATTACAATACTTTGTGGTTTTATAATTTTAAGTGTTTGTGAATTTTCTATAGTAACTGAAGATTTTAATATTTGAAAAACAAACAGTAAAACTGGTTTATTTAGCGTGTTCAGTATTTTAGACTGAAACTGTCACAGGCTTATTACTGAAGTAGATATTCCAACTTTATTTACTAACCTGATAAAATTTCATCTGAATTGTTATAATTGTGAGTAGAGTGATATTTTCTGTGATTGACTTTTCGGTACCGATATAGTTCTAATAGATTGGGGGAAAATATAGTCTATGCTTTCATACATTTTTTTTTAGTTATAGCACTTTATTTTCTTAAGTTCAGCAGATATTTCAAGACTTTTTCTTCCATATTGCAACCTATATTTATCTAAATTATAAATCATATTTCTGATGTTATGATTAGGGTTAGGTGAGGAGTGAATTAGGTGTAGGAATTAGAATGGTTGTTATTTTTTGTCTGAATAGTTTAAAACCAGTTTTTCCTTTTTTTTTTCATTTTAGTGCATTAGATAACAGACCAAAGAGTAGCAGCCCTATTAGATTACCTGAAATTAGTGGAGGACAGACAAACCGTACAGCTGAAGCAGAACCACAATCAAGTAAGCTTACAAATGCATAAGGATTTATAATTGTTTTATTCATGATTATAAATATCATCTGGCAAAGACTTACTACTTCTGATCTTTGAAATATAATATGGACTTATATGTTTTTTTCTTCTTTGATTGTTTACCTTTAATGTGGGTGCAAAAATATTGAATCTGAAACTCTTAGAAGCCTCTTAGTATATGCAGAAAAGGAGGATCTATCTTCTTAGAGCTTTCAGTTTAAAATGTACAACCTTAGAAATTTAATAACTTGCATTTTTCTTTTCAGTTTTGTAGTATTATAGTCACTGTGAAAATAGTCATGTTATCTTCTTTAATCTCCACCATAACCACATAAGGAATATTTGACATATCTCCATTTTTTGAAGGAAGTTAAGATTTAAATTAACCTGCTCAAGATTAGACAGTTAGAGGTGGAGCTGGGATTTGAACTTGGGTCTTGTTAACTTTGTCAGTTAGCAATGCATTTGGCTACAAGTTGACAGACAGTTCAGTTGAGTGTAAGAGCTCAAACAAATGATTTATTTTTCTAAAATAACCATTCTTGAAGGTAGGTAGTTCCTGGCATTGGTTGAACTACTCAGTGTTGTCACAGAGGAATGGTTTCTCTTTAATTCTCTTAAGTTTTCCTCATAGACAAGAATATTACAGTTTTATTTACATTTGAAACAGAAGAGTGGTGCAAGTTCAGTTGTTCTCTTTTTATTATAAGTGCATTAACTGTGCCCACCTTCAGTCTTATTGTCAGAAGTAACTCTTACAGCCACCACTAACTGCAAAGGAGACCAAGAAAGTAGAGGCAGCATTGTCCTGGTTGGCTTATACAAATCATGATCCACTTCCTGTTCTCTACACATCACTACCTCTATAAAATTAGAGTTGTGTTAGGATCCATGTAGGTTATTAAGCACTTTTATTATTGACATTTTCGGAGGATTTATAATTGATGAACTTAACGGTATTAGATTATACACACTAATAGTATAATGAATGAAACTCAAAACCAGAAATGAAAGTAAAGAGCAAGCTTTGGTAAATTCTCGGTCATCCTATGGTATTTGTTTTTTGAAAGATGCTATAAACAAAATGTTTTCCTGTGTTAAAATATAGGAGCAAAAAGATGAAAGATGTTACCTTTAACTCAGTTTTTTTAGTTTATGAAATTGCTTTGTGTTTGCTTAAATTATATTGCAGAACTCAATTGAAATTTACTCTTGTTGCTGAAGATATTATGACTGCTATTGAAAGACAGTTTTGAAAGGCTTTTTGGAGAATTTTTCATATTTTGACATTCAACTTGCTGAGCATTGCTCTCCTGTTTCTGATAATAATAAGGGCACTAAACTACTCAAAAACAACAATAGCATATGTAATAATCTGTGCCAGTGAAAGTATCTATGTAACTCAGATTTACTAGCCTTACATAATGGTTACTGCCAACAAAGGAATAAGTTGAAAATTTTATATTTTCCATTTGCAGTGACCTATATTTAAAATTAATATGTTGCCTCTTATTTTTAGTTAAAAAGGCTTCTGGAATGTTGTCCTTCTTCAGAGGGACAGCAGGGAAAAGCCCTGATCTCTCTTCACAGAAGAGAGAGACCTTACGTGGAGCAGATAGTGCTTACTACCACGTTGGGCAGACGGGCAAGGAGGGGACGGAGAATCAAGGCATTGAGCCACAAGGTGTGTTAAGTAGACTGAATGTGCTTACAAGGCTTTATTTTCTTAAGTTTCATATGTTTCTTATAGGCTTAAGTAGACAATTTTTTGCTGAAACTAGGGCATTCCCTCTGTTCTCACTCTTTAATGTGATAGTCTAAAATAGCATGGCACTTGGAAAGTCCTTTTAGTTTCAGAAGTCATTGCTATCACTTACTGTGTGGTAAAACCAGAAGTCCTTAGTTTCTATACCTATAAAGAGACAAAAATGTCTGTTGAGGTTGAGGACTAAATAACATAATACATGTTAAATATCTGTCCTATGTAATTTCTAACATTCAATTCAATTCAAATTTTTTCATTCCACCCCCTTTTTGATATTTTCTTTCTTGTGGCTATTTACGTCTTCTTTCATTTTAAAATATATTTTAAAAAATGTCTACCTGATTATGCTTGGGCATGAGTTAGACCAGTACTTGACATATTCTGCTGACCTGTTTTTGTAAATCAAGTTTTATTGGAACACATTTACTCTTATCTGGTTACTTTCACATTACATTAGCAAGTTGAGTAATTGCAACTAAGTGAAATATTTATTACTGGGTTTTGGGGAAATTGTTTGTGACCCATAGGTTACATCATGAACTAGTAGTTTAAAAATAGCAACTACGGTTGGGCATGATAGCACTTGCCTATAATCCAATACTTGGGAGGTGGAGGCAGTAGATCTTGAGTTAGCCTGGGCTATAGAGAGAGCCTGTCTCAAACCAAAAATAGCAACTGCTGTAATAAATTCTGATTAATAATTAAGATATCAATTTAGTCTTCTATAGGATGCTTTTGGGCTGTATCTGTTTATAATGTGGTTTTTAGAAGGCTTTGGTGTTTAAGAAATGATTTTGGAATGTGAAACTTAAGGAGATGATTTGTTCTTCTACATATTAACATGTATTCCAAATATACAGTTAACACAGTGGATTTGGTAGTAGGTTTGTCAGAAAGATCAAATACAAAAAATAACTACTAAGACTCTAATGTATTGGGGAAGCATTATTCTGTACATTTGGGGAAACTGATCATAAACTCTGATAAAGAAGATGTGGAAATTCTTGGTGTAAGAGCTGAGATACTATATTGCTACTACAGGATTCACTTAAATGTAAGAAAAATTTTTCAACCTCCAGTCACTATTTTTAATGTAAATACTGAAATTTCATAAAATAACAAAGTTTTTGGTTTTTTTGGGTAGCACTGGGGTTTGAACTCAGGGCCTCATGCTTGCTAGGCAAGCACAGTACAGCTTGAGCTATACCCCCAACCCTTTTTCTGTGGTTATTTTGGAGACAGGGTCTCCCTTTTTGCCCAGGTTAGCCTGGACCACAATTCTTCCTATTTATGCTTCCTGTATAACTGGGATGACAGGTCTGCACCACCATGCCCAGTTTTTTCCATTGAGATAAGGTCTCAAGAATTTTTTTGCCTGAGCTGTCCTCAAGCCACAGTCCTCCTGATTTCAGCCTCCCAAGTGTTTAGAGTTACAGGCATGAACCATTGGCACCTTGCTACATTTTAATTATAATCATTTACACAGTTTAATTGTCTATCTAATGCTTGTTTAATAGTGACTGGACTCGGATATTTTTATAGTGTTGCTATATGTAGGAGAAAACAACAGACAAAATGATAACTAACACTTTGCCTTTACTAATGATATTAAACCTTTTAGATGAATTAGATGGAGGAGATACACAAAAGAAACAACTCACAAATCCTCATGTGGAACTCCGTAAGTATGAAATTATATATTGTCTGCTTGGAGACAGGGACCATAATTGAGCAAACTTATTTCAGACTTCTAGCTTCATACTGTATAAATGTCCTGTACTTTTGTTGTTGTTGTTGTTTGTTTCTTTGTTTGAGATGGGGTCTTGCTGGGTAGCCCAGGCTAGTCTTGAATTCATAATGCTCTGCCCGTGCCTCCTGAGTGCACTGCATACCCAGCACATACTCTGCTTTCTTGACATTAATTCAGTGTTGGGTGGAGGGGGCGAATCCAAGTACCATACATTTGATACATTGTAAGAACCTTTGTCAATGCCACAGGGTACCCCCACCAGCACAACAACAAAGGAAAAAAAACAAGTACAAATAAATCAATGGCTCTATCAAAAGTTAAAAAGAAAGGAAAAAAATAAGTCTGTGTTGGCAAGTGGCTTATTTAATTTAGTTTGTAAATATACATTATTTAATTTATTTTCCAAATTTTAATTTATAAATTATACTTTTATTTAACTTTATTTCTTAATGTTTTCTTACTAGGAATTGAGAGCCACAGAGTTTGACAAGCATTAAGAATTGCTGTAGAAGTATCATGATAAAAATACAATAACCAGTGTAAAATTAGAATTAGGTCTTACTTTTGATTAATTTGAAGATATGTAAGAGTGTTCAGATGATTTCTAATCCTTAACAAAATTGTGATAAGCAGGGATTTAGACTTCATATGAAAGATACTACCATGGAGAAACCTAAGTGGTTGTATTTGGTGCTGGGGACTGTGGAAAAATTACTTTCTGATATATTAACCCCCTGCCTTTAAAAAAAATTTTTCTGTATAGAATTTTCTGATGCTAATGCCAAGTTTTACTGCCGACTGTACTACGCGGGAGAGTTTCACAAGATGCGAGAAGTGATTCTGGGCAGCAGTGAGGAAGATTTCATTTCGTTCTCTTTCCCACTCATCACCTGGCAGGCCCGAGGAGGCAAATCAGGAGCTGCCTTCTATGCAACTGAAGGTAAGTCTTTGCAGTCATTTACTGCATCCTTTTCCTTGAGATGATATATGAATCACTTGAACAGAGGTATTGTGGTATTGTCTTTTGGCAAAGTTTTGCCATTATAGTTATTTAAAAATATACATCTATATTTTTAAAATTAGCCTCAGGCATTGATCAAGTCCTTACTAAACTGTCTGGTTCTGAGTTTTCCAAATGTAAGTAGAAACAGATAACTTCTATAAAACTCATACGGGTCCCTCAGGACCAATAAAAGAAGGTAAAAATAGAAATACTTATAGAATTGCATGAACATTTATATATAGCATTCTCTTATCTATATCCAGTGAAAACAAAATTATTTAAGAAAATATAGCAGGAGATTTGCTGCTTGATAATAACTTCTATAATTCTGGATTGTTAGCAAGGAGTTTTTGAAATTTACAAACTATCAAATAGTTCTAAAAAGTAAATCATTTAGCAAAAAATTAGATGTGTTACTTTTGAATGTACAGAGTTCTTGTCTATCTAAATCTTCAGGATCCCTTCCAGCATTTCAATTACTTGAGAATTCTTCTCTCATCAAATTTGTGCTTTGTGACATCAGAAAATATCATTTAAAAACAGAAGTCAAGCAGATGATTTGGGATCTCTGGAACAAATTGTTACAGATAGCAGGATAGATTGTGACTAAACAAATATTAAATTTTGCCTTTTAGATGATAGATTCATTTTGAAGCAAATGCCTCGTCTGGAAGTTCAGTCTTTCCTTGACTTTGCACCACACTACTTCAATTATATTACAAATGCTGTTCAACAAAAGGTAGAAATTTAGATCTTTTTGTATAATAAGAGTTAATGGGCTTTTTAAAAACATCTTAAAAGTTATTCCTAATAGCAGTTTTCCTGGTGATAAGATACGAGCAGGCATGATTAGATCTCTGTTATGCTATTGAGGTATGCCAATGAGGAATCAAGTGACCTTGAGCAAGTTGCTTTTAATTGGTATATCTATACCTGAATCTCTATATATGCTTTTAATTGGTATATCAACTTAAAATATTAAGACTGGATGAAATTAGCTGCATATTTAGTAATTTGTAATTTTACTGAGAAAGAAATTTTAAACATGTTGAGAAATGATGAGATGCCTCCCTTAGCTAGAAAGGAATGAAACCAGTGGCTTAGCTTTGCCCACTTGGTTTGTAATGAACCCTCATCCCCATGAAGTTATAAATAAGTTATGAAGATTTTTTTTTCAGTTACAATTTGTTACATGTTTATTAGACATGTATTACTACTATGTCATAATAAATGCTTTCAATTTGAACACTATGAAGGGTTATCCTTTTGGAGAATTTAAAGATTTAATATTTTTATGAGTATTGTTACTGTATTCCTGAGATTCAAGGGTATAAGTTCCTTTCAAAGTTTTGGCTGGTTATATTAATAGCAAATCCTATTTGGGTAGTATATGGATAATGCACATATTAGTATTAAATTATAAGTAATCCTTTCTGATAAGAATTTACTTTGATCTTTTCTTGATTAGAGGCCTACTGCCTTGGCCAAAATTCTTGGAGTTTATAGAATTGGTTACAAGAACTCTCAGAACAACACTGAGAAGAAGTTAGATCTCCTTGTCATGGAAAATCTTTTCTATGGGAGAAAGATGGCACAGGTAAGGATATTGGACTACATGAAACATTAGCTCTGAGAACTCTTTGTACTTCTGATTCTTGAATATAATGAATCTGACTAACATTTTATAATAAATATTGGTTAATAAGACAGAAATTTTTGGTTAATAGGCCAAATTTAACTTTTGATTTGTTGGAAGAAAGAATAAAGAAAAATTGTTACGGACTTGTTTTAAAATTTGGCAGCCAATATTCTAGAATCACAGTAGAGTAAGAAGGTAGATCTACTTCATCCATCTTAGTTTTAATAATAAATTAGTTGACGTTCAGAGAAATTAAGTACTTTAAAGTCACTTAGCTATTTTTAGATTTCAGGTTTGTCTAGATTATACAACAGTGCTCTTCAAAATGCTGGTCTTGAACTGTTTCCAGCCTGAAGAGATAAAGGGCTTGTACCTGAATGTAACACAGTGCACTGCTTTCTTCACTGAGAACATGTTTGTATGAGAAGAGCATTAGCTGAACTCAACAGTGTGGCTAATGATCTAATTTACATTCTGCCCTAGCTCCTTAAATCTTTAACCATCATGAGCCGGGAACACCTGAGCAGCACTGGTCAGTACAATGTATGCCAGGTCACATGGGTTCTGGTACTCAAGTTCCCTGACATTGCTTTTCCTACCACCAAGATATTCAGAAATTTCTGCTGCTTCTGTATTTTCATAAGGAATTATAATGTTTTGATATCAAAACTTTTAAGTTTCCTAAATTTATTTGCGTCTTTTTTAATATATTGCTTTATGATCAGGCAATATATATTTGGAGTTTGTTATTGTTAATGTATTTGAAGAATTAAATTGACCAGATTTGTCTGAACTATTTCAACAATTGAGAACTAAGTATTAATGTCATATGATACAATTATATCACCATGTATTTATTTATTTATTACACTGTATCACCATGCTTTTAAATTAATTGATTAAAAGTTATGTTTAAAATTGTGCCATTACA